CTTAACCAAATGGAAGGTAGGAATGGCTGGTCTTTGAAGTGGCCGGATGGCCCCCCGGGACCTTTTTTGCAACGCAATGCTTCTACATTCAACCCAGAAAAGGAGAAATGGTTGGACCTTTTGCTCGGGCAAAAGTTCCAACCCAATAAGGAGTTGAAAAACCGCGCACAGTGTTCTTTTGCGACCTGACTTTGTTTTGAAGCACCCAACAATCCTCCTACTGAGGAGAATTTGTGATTTTAATATCAGATCAATGCAGAGGAGATACTCACAGGAGTCTGTTTGATCATTATGGTACCCTAGAACCATCAAACATGGACGTGCCTTTGGCTCCCTTCGCGATATGTTTCTTTGGGAAGGCAACCCAATTTGAAATCTCTGCATGTCAGGCCAAGAATGACAAGCACGGCTTGCCCTCTGACCCCCGCTCCCTGCCCGAGCGGCTTGGCAAGCACTGCGCAATTCGTGAATATGTGATTTGCGCACTAGGAAGGCAGGGGTCGCTCAATTTCCTTCCGTTTGCTTAAGAATATGGTTTGTTTCCCCTGTTGGTTTTGAAAAAGCCGATTTCACTACCTGACATATTCTTCCTGAGGGTCACTTAAGCAACTGGAAGTTTCCCTATGGACCCCGTCGGGGTAAATTGCAGCTTTGGTAGGATCAAACACCTTGGAAGCTGCAGACTCCGGCCAAAGGTCAGTTGAACTACACGCGTGCAGCTTGACTTGGAGCGCTCCATGACCCACCTGGAGTCTCCTCCTGACCCTTTAAAAGTGGTTGGTCAGTACCCAAAAAGAGGTCATGGCCGTCCCCACTTTTAAAGGCTGGAGAGTCTAGGCATGCTTTAAACCTCGCAATTCTCCCAAATGGCTGTGGGTCAAAAATAGGTACCCAAAATGGCACCATGGTAAATGGAAACAAGGACTAAAACCTGTGGTCCAATTCCTGGTGGTTTCATTTGACCCATATACCCAACTGGCTGAAGCATTTTGACGGGCGCTTGACGGGACCCGTCAAAGGATTTTCCCAGTTCCCTGAGCCCAGGCGATTCCTGCAGAAGGCGCCGGGTTCGATCGCCAAGACTGGGGCTCGATTTTTCATGGGCTCCAAAAAGCCGACAACTTGACAACTTGATAAATTCCGAATTGCTACCCAACATCAGGCCTCCACTGAAAAACGGGCCAACCAGTGATGTGCAAATCCAGACCGCAAAGTGATTGAAGGGTGGACCCACAAACACAGTCATGACAACTTGGTTTGGACCGCTTTGGTTGTTCCGAGACTCAAGACGCAAGGAGAATGTGGGAGGGGGGGGGAGCTCCTTTTAGTGTTTCAAAGTGTTTAGAGGAATGTAGGGAACCCTACGAGCGAGGGACGGGGAGTGAGTGAGTGAGGGAGGGAGGGAGGGAGGGAGGGAGGGAGTGAATGAGCGAGCGAGCGGGCGAGTGAGTGAGAGAAGGCAACAAAAACTAATCAAAGGTCGCCCGGCACCTGCGAGGCGGTGGCTCCGTCTAAGCAGCCGCCCATGCTGCCAGTGCAAGCCTGAGGGAATTGGGTTGATCCCAGTTGTTTTTTTTAAACCAGCCGTTTAGCCTATTCTCAGTTGTCCAAAGCCGACCTTTTGACCTTTTGGTTTTCCCATTTTGGTCCATTTTTAGTAGAGGTGCCAAAAGGTGATCACCTTTTAGTTCTGGGTCCTTTGGCCAACTGAGTATTGGTGTCCTCACGTTAGTTTTAGTCAAGGTCCCAAAAGGTTGACCCTTTGCCATATCCAGGGGTCCCTATATTTCCCTTTTTGGCTGTTTTAAACATCACCTTTTTGGCCCATGAAAGGTGAGTATCCCTTGGTGGGGGTGATGTTTAAGGGGAAATATCGGGAGCCCTGATATCCCTTTGGCAAGTGCTTGTCATGCCCACTTCAGGGCCAGTCAGGGCCCCTTCATCAGGCAGGTTTGGCGGATCCTCTAAGGAGCCCTGTGGCAAAGGCGAAGTGCTTCCCACTTCCCAAGCTGCAACATGTCTGGAAGACCTGCGAAGCTTTTGAGTGTTTTGCTATTTTTACTATGTTTGCGCCACGCTCAGTGGATTTGAAATTGTTGTTTCTCTTGGTAGCTTCCGCACTTTGCATGGTCAACCCCCAAAGGGTCTTAATTTCTTAATTAATTTTCTCAAGGCAGAGGTTAAGTCTCAATCCCCCCCAGACAACTGACTTTCCCAAACCAAACTTTGAAACTTTGGATCTTTTAGTTGTTGTCTTCGTTTAGCCGCTGGAACATTCAAGCATTGGGATTTCGGCCGTGATTCAAACGGCATCCTCCAACTAATCAAGAGGCGGGTATTGACGGAGTGAAAAGTACTTCTTGGAGTGGAGGGTAGGGGCCTCTTTGGAGGGTTCTTTGACTCTCATGCGAGATATCTAAAACTATTTGTGTGTAACAAAGTCAATGGAAGTGGGTACTGTCTTCTGGCCTGTTGGCATGTTGCTTGGTAGTTCCTTGGGAGCGCTCTGTCCCTAGATGCAGGATAAGCTGATAAGGCTTGTCCATGGCTGAGCGAACCCTTTGAGCATGACGCCAGCTGTCTGCTCAGTCACCTGACTTTGACCCAAAAAGCAACAGCCAACCGACCATCGAAGGCATCTAGATTTTTAGGTACACTGTAGATTTCTATGGAACATCATGGGACCCCACCACCATGGGTGTTTCTCGGCATCTACTGGGATCAGACCTCCCTACGAAACAATGGACTTGGACTCCTGAAGCAAGCATCTATGGCAAACCATTCCCTTGGCAAGTCTGGTTAAATCGGCAGGGGACCTTTGGGGGCGCACCCAGTCAGTTTTCGGCTACCATCAGTTTGGAACTCCCCGCCCCCAAATTCATGGTGGTAAAGGGTACGCGCAAAGGGCGGGGTGCACGGCTCGTTCCGGGCTCACAGCCCACCTCATCCCCACCGCACCATGAAATGTGGGGGACGAATCTTCCCCAGAATTAGCTCCCCTTTTTTTTGTTTGCTTTTTTGGGGTCTCTTTGTTTTCCACTAACCAGACCAAATATACACATACATATATATATATATATATTATAAATCCGCTGGCGTCCCAATTCCAGCCTAGGAATTTGGGGGTCTCGGGGCTCGGCCGCCTCGGCCGCCTCGGCCGCCTCGGCCGCCTCGGCCGCCTCGGCCGCTCCCAGGACACAGACGTGAGTCTGATGCCGCCAGTGGCTTAGGGGCGGGCAGAGATCTACGGATGCCTCCAGTGGTGTCCTTGTTTCCTTGATTCTGTTTGCGTGTGTGCTGTGTCTTTTGTTGTTTCTTCGTGGGATCCCTTGAAATCAGCACGCCCCAACTCCAAACTGGGGGTGAATGAATCCTTTGAGTTCCAAGTAAGTCAGAAAGGGTCAGAACACCATTGCACAGACTGAAGGAGCCTTTGGAGGGTGGAGGGGCTGTGATGTCCTATCCATTGAGAGTAGCCTGGCTGAAGCCCACGTTGACCGGCATGTCCTTTTGAATCGGGCGATTCTTGGGATCGCTCGGGGTTTTGCCCCGCTGTGATACAAGGACATGTGTCTGGGTTACCCTGTTTTGAATCGGGCGATTGTTGGGTCTCATTTGTTGAGGACCCGGTTGAGTCGCACAGTGGCCATTGTTGCATTGTTGTCGCGCACGTCTCCGCATCTCGGATTGGCCTATGTCGAAAAACGCCCGTTGAGCCCCGCTGAAGGGAAATGAAGAGGGTGTTGTTCGAACACATCTTGTCTTAACATGCTTATGTCAGGGGTTGGCCCACCCCTGCGACCTTTGAATCCATGGCGGTTTCGGGAGCGGGTTGCAAGAAGAAGCCCGCCACGTGGAGAGAAGGGGTCTGGTTCAAGTGCTCGGTCAAGCTGCCGACGCCACCGTTGCTTATGACATCCGTGTTGGGCGTGCTCCTTGGATTCAAAGGTGCGTGGCGCGATGTCCCTGCGGCCGAACACCTGAGGAGAATTGTCTTGCAATGTCTCCCAGGTAAGTGTCTTGCCCCAAGGGTATTTTGCGAAACCCTGGAGTTTTTTTTTTTTTTTTTTTTTTTTTTTTTTTTTTTTTTTTTTTTTTTTTCGATTTTCAGCAGCAACTGCTCCCAGTGTCAGGTCGAGAGGCATTGCTTGCCCGGGCAAGCATTTGTCCCACCCACCGATGTATGGCAGACGCCAATGTGCTGCGAGATAAGGTTTGAGTGCAGGTGCCCAGACGAGAGTACCGCATTTTCATGTACGGCTAACGAGGTGGAAAGCCTTTTGCCCGGTGTTGGCATATTTGTCGAATTCTGTGGTGGTTAGGGAGCAAGCGTATCAGCTTCAGGCAACTCACTGGGTCCGGACGCTTGTGGCGATTGCTGGCTTATCGGCGGTCAAAATGCGGAGAGGTTTCTTGAAACTCAATCCTGAGGCGCGCCAACTCGTTATGGATGAGTTGGAGGCGGCAATTGAGCCCGTGGAGCTGTTGTGCCCACAGCTTACCGCGAAGGTAAGAGAGGGTATTCAAAACGCTGTCTCGAAGGTAAGAGTATAGGTATTGAAGCCGCTCTCATCTACGCAGCCTTGTTGAAAAGTGTAACTCGCTGCTGATTGCAGCTCGGATGCAGATGCTGGCTATGGCTCCGAAGCAGACTTCATCACAAGAAGTGGAGCTGCAGCGGCTTTCACCGGAAGAATTGGACCAAATGGCTGAAGACTTGATAAAGTATCTTTCAGAGCACATGAACCCAGAGTTTCTATGAGTTTCTTGAATCTGCAGCAAGGGTGGTAGCAGGCGGCAGGGTAGCAAAGGCCGTGCGCATCTTTGCAGAGAAAGCCAGCAGGATCGCTGAGGCCGGGAGGGACGCCGGCGCAGCCGCAGCAGAATTTGCAGACCCATTCATAGCTGTCCTGGCTATCCCATTCGTAGCAGAAAGCATTGATGAGGATATCACATCCGCGTGTGGCTGCGTTGCTGTGCCCAACACATCCTTGTGGGCCATGGTGTTTGGTGGGCCAAGCGCCAGGCAAGCCCAGCCTCATCAGAAGCTCACGAGTCAGTTTGCCTCGCAGTTCCAGTACCAGCAAGGAATCATCTCCGAGTTGGTTCGGGGCAACAACGCGCTGAATTCTGACTTGCACGAGAAAGACCAGCAGGTGGCAGGCCAGCAGCAACGCTCCGACCGTTACGAGAAGGACCAGCAGGTGGCAGGCCAGCAGCAAAGCATCGCGGCTTTGAACTCCGACCGTTACGAGAAGGACCTGCAGGTGGCACGCCAGCAGCAAAGCATCGCGGCTTGGTGGGGGCTTGTTGTGCTCAGTTGCTCGGCGACTCTATGGATGGCACTGTGCCCGGCACACAACAACAATTTCATGTGTGTTCCAGGGTCACTGGGCAACCAGGGCGCAAATAATCATGTGTTTCGCACCCCCGCCCTCTCCAAATGGAATGTTGGGAGCGGGGAACCGCAGGGATTCGCGGCGTTATTTCCACTTTGTGGCGATCATGTGGGATCCACTTTTTGACGCTGCCATCAGCGGCCATCAGCACAGACACCCTTCCCAACATTTCCCAAGCTCCCGCTTGCCGGCAAGAAACATTTTTGGTTTCAGCCCCCTTTGACCGAAAGGGTTTAACATGAAAAGAGCCAGTGTGCCAACTCACCAAAGTCAGCCATTTGCCCCTCATGGCTTTTTGGGTTTGGAGATTTCTTAGTTCCATCTAGACGGGCCTGGGGTGTTTGCAAGTAACATCCGGGCCTGAAAATGACTAGCCCGTTGTGCCTTTCATCCTCTCGACTTTGGACATCCGTTTAGTACTCGTGAAGATTGGTGTGTTGAGTGTTGAGTCCTCGGAAACGTTCTGGTGAGTTCGGCACACAGCCACGCAATCTTATCTTGGTCCCCCGAGCTAGGTGCCCTTTCACCATTTTCTGGGGGAGAGTTCCCCTGCTAAAATAGACTACAGAAACAAAGTAGTGGTACCCTTATTCTAGGCCCTCTCTACTGGAGCGCCTAGTTGTGCATTTGCCGCTTAGTCATCCCACGCAGCTGGTCCCGTGCTCACCGCATGAGCTTGAGCTATGGGATTTCGGAGAAAGCCTGTCCAGTTGTGTGGGCGAGGGCAGCTTATACCCAGCTTCATTGCGGCCGATGGCCGGGTTATCAGAGGAAGCAGCTGCGAGGGTACAAAAGCGGGCAGCGTGGTTCCATGAAGGCCGTTGCGACAGGCACAAACTCGGAGTGCAGAGTAAGCCCCGACGAGTTCAACTCCACTGTTCTTGGCATGGTTTTTGTTTTTTTTAGTTTGTTTGGTTCTGTTGACTTTTACTGGGGGTCTGCAAAAAACAAGTTTTTCGCTACCATACCAAGAGTAGAGATGTCAATGGGATGGAAATCGGTGGGAAGCTCGGGGGAGGCGGGGGTGAGCAATGCCTTTGCAAGGTTCATCCATGGAAACGTGTCCTGGATATGAAAGCCATGTACTGGTTGCGTGTTTCAGCAATTCCCCAGGGCAGTGAGCAGACAGGTTGTGCACTGTTGTTGGCAAGTGTTCATTTTTTTTACCTGGGGGCTACAAAACACAAAGTTGTTTGCTAGTGCGTTTACATTGTGGAACTCCCAGACTTAGAAGCCTGACTGCATTTGCTGCCCCGCCCAAGCAATATGTGGAAGGGTGTGTGCCATAAATGACCCTCGCACCCTACAAGTTCCCACGTGTGCAGGGTTGCTCGCCGGGCCAAAACACGTGCTTGCCCTTCTTCACCGGGAACTGGCCCTTGGAGCAACCCTGTCGGATCTGTTCTGTGCGGCACTTTTTTCCCCCAGCGGCATGGACCGGGCGTCGCATCAGCCAACCCAAGTCGAAGCTGGCTTTCGTAGGGCTTCCCCGGGACCCCACCAGCATCCAGGGTTGTGGGATGAAGGGGTTTCTCCCCACTGCGATACAAGGAAATCCCCCTTTATATGATGAAAATCGTCTTTGGGAAGCCCTTTCTGTTGTATCACAGAAGTGGTCATTCCCCCCAGCCCCACCAGCATCTTTTCTTTTTTTTGCAGCGGCCAACCTGAACTATCCTTTTCTCCAAGTTCCGCCTGAAATTCTGAAAATGCTCGACCCCGGAAATGGCTCCAATGGCTCTACCAGTTTGCTGGGCAGCTTGGACGAGTGGGGGGCTTGACCAAGTTCTCTTCGAAAAGGGGCGGTCGCATTCCCAAGTTGGTTCATACTCAGGACGCAAAACAAGTTCCAAGCAGTTTGAATTTTCTAGCTGCACGTCTTCCATGTCTTTCAGGGATCCCCGCTTTTTAGAAGATTCCAACGACCAACCAGATTGGTTGCTTAAAAATAGACCAACCTTTGGACATGGCCAGGGTAAAGCTTCCCTGATCCCTTGAACATCAGGTGACTTTGGATGCTTTTTTTGTTTGGGGATTAAGCGACTGCTGAGGGGCGCGCTGATGCAGAAGGAGCCAACGGTGCGACTTGTTTGGATTTCTACGGCGCTGACGCGGAATGGCTGGCAATGATCAGCAGCTCTCAGGTCACAATCGCAACTCGGGGAAGTGAAGGCAAGGGCCAGTCCCAGCCCTCTTGATTCTTTTCATGGTTTGGCGCTGGGTCCCTCCGCCAGGAGTTGTTTGTGAGGCACCTGAGCGGAACCGAGCTCACCCATTGAACCGTCTTCCCTGATTTCCCGTGATAGGTCAGCTTGGTTGAAGCTAGACGGGTCTGGTTTCAGATGAGTTCCAAACATCTACCAGTGCCATCATCTTTGATTGCCAACACAATACCCAGAGTGATCACTGCCCCCCACTCATGTGGCTGCCACTGCTGTGCAGGCCCCGGAGCAGGTTTCATGCATGTTTCCCTAGCAACGCTTGGTAACTAATTCTGGGGGAGGGGTGGGGGGGGAGGGTTGGAGGGTTCTTGACGAGCAGATTTTCCCTCTTGACGATTTTTCGGAGCATGCTCCAACCTCACTCACTCAGTTCCTGGACTTTAGGCTTTTTGGGTGTGGACCTTTTCAGTGGCATATATATATATATATAATAGGTCCCCCAGTAGTGCCCTTTACCCTTTTTTGGGGAGGGTTCCCCTACTAGACTAGACTACAGAAAAGAGGGTACCCTTATTCTAACCTCTCTTAGTATAAAGTCTAGACGTTTTCTGGCCAATAGACTCATTCGGAAGTTCGGAAGTGAGTATATAACACATGTGCCTTCCTTTGCTTTGCAGGACCCCTCCAAAGCCAACTGGACGGTCGTTTAGCGCAAACGCAGGAGGCAGTCGGCGCGCCAGCAGGCCTGAGAGCGCCAAGATCTGCCAAGATGGTCCTATCTTGGTATGTGGGTATGTGGGTATGTGTCAAACATAGGCGACCTCACCCCTCCCAAAGAACAGGAGAGAAAAGTGGGAGTCCTCTTTGTTTGGTGTCCCATGTTTCCCTCTAAAGCTTAAGCCAACCCCCAGAAAGGGTAAGCTCAAAACCAGACGCACCCATCTAGCCCTTGGATACTGCCCAACTTGGGGGACTTGCAATAGACATAAGTCTCGGTGACTCCCAGCCATCCCGTCCCGTAGCCTCTTCGCCTTTTCGCCTTTTAGTGTTTGGTCGAATTTCCGAACTTAACCCACTAAAAGTTCTCAACTTTTGGGGGATCTGAGGACAGCCCAGACATGATGGTTTCAACACGGCTACTCTTTGGTGCCAATAGGCTGAAGGTAGCATAACACAGTCGAGTCCAGAAGAGGTTTCGGCATCCGCTCCTTGTGAAGAGTTTCCTGCGAGTTGCTTGGATCTTCAGAAACTTCCCCAGATGTAGCTCCCCTTTTTTTCTTTTTTTTGGGCTTTTTTGGGGTCCCTTTGTTTTCCACTAACCAGGCAAAGAATATAGTTTAAAGAAAAATCCGCTGGGGTCCAAATTCCAGCCTAGTAAAAATAAGCCTGTCGTTCTTTGTGTGTTGAACGTGTTTGCTCCCACCAATTAACCAAACAAGTAGAAGGACTTTCTCCCAATCAACATGGATCCCGACGTTCGTTTGGAGAATGTTCCTTTCAAATGTTACACGGACCATTGCTCTGTGTGAAAAGGGTGGGAGGGTTTTCGCTCGTTGCACTGGGGCCTAGAGCCCCGCGATAGCCCCGCGCCAGGAATTGCCCGGGTTCTTGAGGTCAGCCCGCATGCGGAAGGCTCGGACGCCTTGGGGTGTTTGGGTTTGGGGGAGAACCAAAGTCATGAAACAAAGGAAGCACCAACTTGAAGCCCAATCACCAAGCACCAACTTCGAAGAACAGCCAGCCAGCACCAAAGCAACGAGCTGGGGTTCAGCTGCAAGGCTCTGCCAACTTGGGACAATCTGCTGGATCAGCTTCCCAGGTCGGGTCAGGTTTTGAAACCTTTACTGGGCCCAGCGCCCTTCGGCTGGATTTGTTTAACCCCCCGTGAAACCTGGTTGGATTGAGCCTGTCGAAGGGTTGCAAGGCTGAAGTTTCAAGGGCCCGGTGAAGGAGTACACACGAAATCTTCGACTGCCTGAAAGGAAGCAAGATGTTGGGCATCTAGGTCCCCCAGTAGTGCCCTTTTACCCTTTTTTGGGGGAGGGTTCCCCAACTAAAATAGACTACAGAAAAAAAAGGCTACCCTTATTCTAACCTCTCTACTGGAGGATCTAGGCATGCTCGTTTTGCCCACCTTCTGCGCCTTCAGCCGCACATGCGCCGAGTCCCCAGACAAACAAAATCGGCCGCAGCATAGGCGAGGAGGAGGAGGAGGAGGCGTGAGAGCGAGTTGACCAAAGCCGAACTTGTCATTCACCCTGCAGTCTCCTCCAATTTTGTTTTATGTCATAGAATGACTATAAAGATCAAACATAATCAGAAACTTCATTTTGTTTGGGCCAAGCACTGCATGGTTAAACAACTCGCTACTTAGGGTTAGGAATTGTCATGGGCCCCTTTCTGTGTGATAAACTACCCATTTGTTTTAGTCTACCCAAAGGAAGCAACGAAGGTCGGGCAATTGCTCCCTTTAGATGCGAGTAACCCATTTCCAAACTGAATGGTTCCATTTCCCACAGGGGCCGCGAATTACTCGAAAGTTCATTTATTAGTTCGATCAGGGCTACGTGCGACCCGGTACCGGACTGAGATCAGAGGGAACGACGCGTTATGAAACCGCATACTCCGTCCCAGCATGGCACCTAGCCGTTCCTCTTCCAATGGAATTTAACTCTGAGAGTGGTACACATCAAGAATTTTAGGCGTCAGAGTGTGCGTCGGTTGCATGTGCGTTTAGGTGTGTTCTTCGTTTTTTTGGTTGGTTGGTTGGTTGCTTGGTTGCTTGGTTGCTTGGTTGCTTGGTTGCTTGGTTGCTTGGTTGCTTGGTTGCTTGGTTGCTTGGTTTGCTTGTCAGTTTGTTGGCTCGTTGGATTGTTTGTTTGTTTGTTTGTTTTTTGTTTGTTTTTTTTTTGGGGGGGGTGTTTGTTTGTTGGTTTGTTTGTGCGTTCGTCCATTTGTCCCTTCTTTTAGACTTGCTTCGGCGCCAAAAAGCGCCATGGCGCCATTGCCAGTTGATATTGGGTGCGCCTTTTCGATCCAGGGGTTCGGCATAGCTTTCACAGTTCTTGGTGGTTCCCAGCCATCCGGTTACCTTAGCTTTTTAGACTTTTAGGGTTTAGTGGTAGTTTCCATTTGACCCACTTGAAGTTAACAACTTTTAGCAGGGGATCTGAGGGCAGCCCAGAGTTTACATGTGACTTGTTGCTCTAGGACAAGTTGCCCGTGACTTGGCCGAGATGCAGATTGGTGATTGTCACATGCCAAGTATGGAACCCCAGCAAGGGCACCCAGAGTTTCCTCTGAAAGTGATCGCTGGGGTTTTATGTTGAACTGCCTTGGCAGGGAACAACAGAACCCCAGAACCCCCCCATCCCCCCCATCCCCCCCGCCCAACCCTTCCGACTTGCTGGGAGCCCAGAGCCCCAGGGTGAAATATTACAGCGTATGGGCGGAATCCTGTACCTCTTTGAAACCATGAGAAACAGGGGAATCATCATTCCAGGGTTTCTGGGGTGCGAAATTAGAAATTTCGTCAAATCAAGGGCACCAACGGTGGACCAGAAAGCAACCCCCTACCAACTGGTTTCTGGGGTATCTGGTGCGAAATGGATTTCGTCCATCAGTTCCACGGTCAAGTAGTGACTCCTTGGCAGGTCGCGAACTCCAAGGCTTCCTTGGCGGGGGTCCCAGATGCCGGTTGAGAAAAAAGTATCTCTGGTTTTCCAGGTCAACAGGCCCCCAGCAAAATGCGCAGGGTAAATTATTTCGTGGTTGGTATTGGGAAACATTTTACATTTTGCTTATTGTGGTTTAGTGGTTGAAATCCACCACTTAACTGCTAAAGTTGTTTGTTTTGCTGCACTTCCAAGGTCAACCAAGAATTGGGTTCCATCATCCTGGCCGTAGGGCTGTTTAAAGGGAAGCCACAAGGTGCGTCGTTCGACAACCGTGGCTAGGTCCCCCAGCTAGGTGCCCTTTCTCACCCCTTGTTTGGTTGGGAGGGTTCCCCTACTAAAGTAGACTACAGAAAAAAAGGGGCACCCTTATTCTAACCTCTTCTGGAGGACCTAGGTGATTTAATCATGTTGCTTTCGTTTTCGCTTGGCTCAACCCTGAACTTGTGGCATCTCATTTCGGTGTGTTTGACCCTGTCACATTTGTTTTCCATCCATCCGTCCTTCTGCAAGTTCTTACTGCAGTACAGGCAATTGTATATATAATATGTATGTCAATGTGCATATACATATATATATATATATATATACATCCATTTTGTATTTAGTGCAATCATCAGGGCTGAAGTTGTTTGTAATTTAGGGATATTTAGAGGTTTTATTGCATACACGCTGTAGTGTTGCAACTTATGTTTTACAGTGATTTATTGGTTGATAGAAATAGCCAGTGATACAACTACTAACACTACAAGGAAGACATTTAGAGGCATACTACGTATAGGCTGTATATAATCTAAGTATTGCTATGACATTTGCAGCTATAAGAATAACATATTCAATATGTAGAGACCACACTCGAAAGAAGCAACGGTAAGTGATCAACCACGCACAAGGCTAAAGTTAGATTCATCGTAAGACTATACACAGACGGGAAACTCTCGCACTTCGCCTAAGCAGAGAAAATGGTTGTTGACCTTGTAACCGCCAGAGCAGACAATGAATAGAGTAATTAAGGCAGATCGAAATATGACCAGATGATGAACAAATACAGAGATAAACAGCCACTGAATGAAACAATGAAGACAAGCCAGGCAAGAGAGCATACCAAGAGTGTTGCCCGGTTTTCGCGCTGAAAGCCCAAGGCGAACTCGGAGATGATTCCGAACCTGGAGCAGAAGCGTGTTGCCAACCCGACGAACACCAGCATCACCAACAGGCGACTCGTTCTTCGGGTCCCTGATGCGGTTGGGGGGTCCCTGATCACCAAAAGAGTTGGGGTGGGAGGCATGGTGCCGTTTTGAGCCGGATTGAACATACGTAAATGGCGCTGGTCATGAATGTGGAAAGCAGGTTTTTTCGGCTCGCCTTTTGGGATACCCCTTGCCGACAAACTTAGTCATGGGGATCGTCCCATTCGCGTCCTCCAGGGAGAAGCATGTGCAAAGCCTGGCTTCATGATGGAAACCCACGCTGTTCTTCTGACTTCCCGAGTTCCTGGTATATGACAAGTTGCGACTTTGGGGGCCAATCCACTCGGGATCTGAGTCTTTCTGAGGCCCCCCTCCCCCCCTCCCATGAATCTTGCCGCAAAATTTGCGTTGTAAATCATATTGCCCCCTGCATTCTTGTCACATGTTTTCATCACGACCCCAGGAGTGCAATTACTCCTGGACCAATTTGTTTGACGCTTTTCATTGGATACTGAGTTGTTTCCATGAGCCTACCACTAGAAGGGCTTTGATCACGGTACAGATGCGGGGCCTGTTTGGAAAGTGACCCGCGCTGCTTTCGTATTTGATTAAGTGGAGGTGTCTCTTTTGCAGGCTGTCTATGTTTCCCCTATCGTATTTGATTAAGTGGAGGTGTCTCTTTTGCAGGCTCTCTATGTTTCCCTTTCAGTCGTTTAAATCGTCATTTGCTTGGTTCGTTTGAGGTTGGTGATGTTTTCAGGGCAATTGCAGGGGCCTCTTTTTTTCTCAGCTGTCTGCTTGCAACAGGGTTGTAGGATCAAGGGGTTAGTCCCCACTTCTGTGATACACGGGATTCTCCCCCTTTATGTGGCAGGTTTGTCTTTGGGAAGACCTTTTTGTCGTATCACAGAAGTGGTCGTTTCAACCACAGCCCGGAGGACAAATGTTGGTTGCGATTCCCCCGATGGCCGAAAGCGAGAGGTCGAAGAAGGGCTCGGTGCAGCTGCGCGACGAGAAGAACGACGAGCTGATCCGGGCAACCATGCAGAAAAAATCACGATGGGTGTACCTGGACTCTCCATGACCCTTAAAAAATGGGGTCATTGCCCGAAATAATGGGGTCATGACCCCTTTTTCTAGGGGTCACGGAGACTCTAGGTATGTCTCTTTCGGGTCCCGCCCAAAGAACATGTTGCAATCCCTTTTGGCTTTTCCTTTAAAACACAAAAAGGGGGTAACCCGCATGGGCGGAGTTGTTGCTTTTCTTTTGTCAGGGGCCCTCAACCAGGCTAATTAGCCCATATTTGCTTGCCAACAGGGGATGGGCAAGGTGTCTCCAAAGCTATGTACCCTCCCAGCAATTAAAAGCGGAACGTGACGTTCGGGGATCCTGGTTTGGACCATTGTCCTTTTGAAGGGACCAGTTCCCTGTCAGGTTCCATGTGAAAAGGGTGGGAGGGTACTTGTTCTGCCTGTTTTATAGCGAGCTATAACCGGCTCTCCATGATAAAGGTCCCTTAAAATTTGCAGGTTCTTCGAGATGCCCCGAAAGAGGCTTGTTGTTTTCGGATCAGTTTGGAGCCCTTTCGAGTTCAAATAGTTTATCTATTCCCCACAAAGAAAAGATGAACGCATCCCTGTCCAATCATACAATGTTCCAAGACCATGTCACCTAGTTGTCCAGTAGAACATGTTTTGGACGTTTGTGCCTGCTTTTTTGTGGCTATCTCTCAGACACAGGCGGGTTGTGAATGGTGAATGTTTCTACGTGGGACCGTTCAACGCAATAAGCGGGATCCAACCGAGGACAGTCATGTGGAGCCATTGGTTATCCATGGAACCGGTTGATGGGTAGCTGGAAGATCTGAGGAATCCATTCAGGATACCATTTGTGGACCCCATGGCCGGGAAGTGAATGAGGTGAATGACATCTTCTGCATAGTAGGCAACGCGAGCGTACGGTAAAGATCCCTTGCTTTGATATCCCTCATTTCTGGTATTCTTGCAGAATTTGCATAGCCATGGCTGATTGAATCGCCATGCAATTTGTTCCGGATCGTAGTATTAGGCTGCAGCTGGCCACTTATTTCAGGTTTGGAATTCTTTCGTAGGTCGATCTGAGGCCACCATCAAGAGCTCTCCGAAGACCACGAAGCAGGAGCACTCCACCCATGAGTCCTACCACTTGTCCGAGACCCAGGCACGACCAAAACCGAGTCGCGAGTCTTTGCTTGACAAAACGCAAGGGCGTAAAAGTCAGTCAGGCACGTTCAGTTTTGTTTCAGACGAAAGGAGAAGTGCTGTTAACCCATTGGCCAGGGGTTCACTCCAAGCATTTATTATTCCAGGGCTTAATGTGACATGGGCGTGCGCATACGTGCCAAGGATGGTTTGGCAGCAGATTTTGTTGATCCACGACAATGGGGCCAAAAGTTGTTTCCATCCACAGGTGGACTTCAATAAAAACGCATCCAATTGTCTACATCGCCATGCTTGGCTTACCTTTTTAGCCTGTCACCTTTTGTTTTCCTTTACTTCCCCTTCATCTAGCCAAACAAATATATCATTTTGTGCAAGGGGTCTCAGTTCGACCCAGTCTAGACGTGGGCTCTTGGCAAAAGCGCAGGACACTTTGAGCACGGAGGAGAAGGAGATTCAGAAAGTGTCCAGGTGTTTCTCCTGCTTGCAGTCGGCCGCCCGACGAAAAAGCGACAAAGTCGGGGCAGTTTTCACAGGGTCTCATGCGTGTGGGCAGTCTAACCAGGTGGGTTTTTGGATGTATCCCTTCAGGACCGAATCCTGTTTGTTTGTTTCGTTGATTGGTCAGCTGTTGATGTGTCTAGTTTATTTCTTTGTGTCATTGTTTCATTAGTTCTTGTTTCTGTGTTTGTTTGTTTCGTTGTGTTCTTTGTTTCCTGCGTGTTATTGATGTTTCTTGGGTTAACCGTTTCTTTTTGTTTCGTCGCTTTGCTTGTTTGTTTATTTCATGTTAGTTGTTTTATTTGGTTGTCTTGTTTTGATTTGTTGCGCGTTTGTTATGCAGCTTGGTGGTTTGCTTGCTTCTTTGTTTAATTGTTTGATTCGTGACGTGGCCTTTGGTGCCGAAACGGATGTTCGCCGCGCCGTTATGGGAGAATCCGGATGGCAGCGGGGTTGGGGGTGTTGCCTTTCGGCTCAGCTTTCATTGCGTTTCTCTTCGGCAGGATGCTTGAAGGCGACAGGTCAAGTACCCTGAGAAATCTGATATGACATTTTAGACCCTAGATTTGAGTGCTTTTTTTGGTTTACAAAGCAAAAAACCTGACTCCTGCGTTGGGCGTGTCTTTCGGGAAGGCCATTTAAGTGGGCAAGGTTGGGACTTTTCTGGCCGCCAATCCAAGCTGAAGCCCACCATAGGGCCTCGGCAGTTGTCTTTTTTGTTTCTTTGGGGCGGTTGAACTCACCGTTTTCGGCCCGTTGGCTCTTTTGGGTATCTTTAATTCGCTTGCTTTTAGCCGGCAAGGATGATGGGTGTTTTTACAGGGGCCTTCTGGTTCGTGAGTTGTCAAGGCAGACCTCGCCCGGAAACGTCTCAAGGCCGGAAATGTGCTGGTGAAGGCCATTCTGCGGGTGAACTGCGCAGCGCCTCGGAGAGCAAAGCCCAGGTGCCCTTTTTAACCCCTTTTTTCAGTTGAGAGGGTTGCCCCACTAAAATAGACTACAGAAAAAAGTTGGTACCCTTCTTCTAACCTCTCTACTGGAGGACCTAGTCCAGTTGCCACTGAAAGTAACTGGAGTCTCCATGGCCCCAAACCAGCCCAGAGCCTATCTTGGCAGAGGCTCTACAGCTTTTTCCGTGGCACCTGTTTTGAAAGGTGATGGAGATTCCAGGTGGGTATTTGCACCTCATTTTGCATGACGCATTCTTCTGCTTACCTACAATCCAGTGCTGGAAGCAGTGGGAGTATCTCCGTCGGACCAAAAGCCTTTCTTTGGATAGCTCACCGCTTTGGAAACAAACCCAAAAGCCGGGTCCTCGGAGACCTAGTATCAACAAATGCAATTCTTAGTTTACAACGTCCATTTGCTGAAACAAATCCTACCTGGGAAGAAACAAGCTCACTCTCGAGTCTTTGTACAAGGTATTCCTTCCGGCGCGCAAAGATACAGCCTTCGGCTGCTCTGAGTTTCAACGCCCCGTTGCTGGGACACTCCAAACCTAAACTCACCATCCGGGTTCCTCAACTTCAAGAAGACCAATGATTTCAGTGGCAGACATCAAGTCTGGGCTAAATCCCCCGAGCGAGTTGGGTTTCCTTCAAACCCACAAGCACAAGTCAACAAAAAATCCCCTTAAAAAACCGCACCCGAGTGATGTCTGCCAGAGGATCTCCAATTGAAAGGCATACCGCACGTATCAGGGCATTGCAAAGACGTGCACAACTTGCGGGCGCTCAGGGAATGAGAAATCTTTGGTGCATTCTGCTAGGATGTTAGGACTTTAACTTTTTGCCAACTAATGGGTTTTCCGTATTAAACCACTAAAAGTTAGTCACCTTTAGCAGGGGGGCAGATTTCGCAACCGAGAAATGGATTGTCTTTTCTGAACCGTCAAACTGCCCTGATTTCATTCTCAAGCTCATTACCCAATGCCTTCAAGCCTTCGAGGCGGTTGGGATGTTGACCCAACTTCTTGCAAACATGAACCCTACTTACCTAGGTCCCCCAGCTAGGTGCCCTTTTTATTTTTTTTTTGGTTGGGGTTTTGGGTTCCCCTACTAAAATAGAGGTCCAGAAAAATCAAAGGGTACCAACTTATTGATTCTAACCTCTCAAATCTGGAGAACCTAGTTCACCCAACTTTTCGTAGCAAACATGGGTCCTACTTCTCGCACCGGACCAATCTGTTTTGTGCTTTTTCAACCTGAGGAGAGCATTTGCCAGAACCGGCTTGGGACCATCGCCTTTCAAGCTGCCGGAAGCTCAGTCGCCGCCACTTTTTGCTTGGCGAGGCGAGGGAGTCATGTTAGAAGTTTTTCCTAGGATTCCCCTTCCCGTATGCCCGTATGATGGACACTTAGGATCTATTTTGCAACCTCTTTCTTTTAGGGTATCGGTTTTTTAGGGTTTCATGCTGCAAAATTCGGACTTTTCGTGTCCTCCCCCGCCCCCAAGCCCAAACTCAGCTCCAATTTTATGTGCTCAGTGCTTCCAGCTGGGTGCCGGGGCTTGATAAATTTAGGGCCCATTGCCAGCAAGGTTCTCAGAACTCTTAAATCAGAACCCCTGGACCTTTCTTGAGACCTCCCCCTCACCTTGAAAGCCAGGATCCACTGCTTATGGAACCCCCGCGCCCGTTCGGAACCCGTGGCCGAGAAAGCCCATTTGATTCTTGCCGTCTTTGCCTTTGGTGGATAGACAGCCCACCCTTTGTGATGCATTGAGCCCAGCTGACTGTTCCCCTGAGAACACGAAGACAGGGGCGCAGGGGTTGCACCTCAAACCAAAGGGTTCCGACCCTGTTGCAGGTTAAGTGGCCTTTGTTTTATGAGATCGAAACCTCGCAACCTGTCCCGAAGTCAACATCCTGAAATGCTTGAATTCCAGTGTCTATGCTTTTGCGAGGGAGTTGTCTTGAGACACGTGGCATGAAACGCTCGCTGAGGTGCTGGTTGGTCTAGCGTTCTTGGCAGTTGGCTGGAACATGACCTCTGTGCTGAACGCGTATATTTCGGAGACTTTTGGCAGGCGCATGCCGGGGGTGGGGGGTGGGGGGGTAATGGGAACCCATTATGTGTTAAGCGCGGGGCAAGATCCTTTCAAAACAGCCAGCCCGCGGTACCCGAACAAACGGGAAGCCAAGAGCAGAGTGTTTAAACAGCAGTTTGAACGTGTTTCAACAGTTGGTTGGCACCACCAAGTTCATGAACCATAATACGGTACACCCCTGCAAACGAACATCATGGAACCTAAAAGGAGGTCCCTGCAAAGGGGTTTTCCAACAAGGACGATTTGTTGGATCCATATTAATTTGTGTAGGTGTGTAAATCCCCAGTTGATGTGGGGGGATCAAACATTACAATGTCACGGTCTATGTTCCAAGCTTGCCCACAACAGTATGTTTGGCGTTCGGAGTGGGCCCACAGTTTCCCTTTAGTGGTTCTTCAAACTAGAGACCCTAGCGTAAGGGCCCATTTCAAGTGGGAAGCCTTTTGCCAGCTCATACATGCCACCATGAAGCTCGTGGCCCTGTTTATTCCAGATATTTCCAGCTTCCCGCTTGGCAGAATGCAAAGCGCGTCTCGCAGGTACGAGATTTCCAATTACCTTCTGCAAATCTCGTTTTGGGGAACTGCTTTTCGGGTTTCATGTCAGTTTGTAATAGGTGGCCCATTGTTGCAAATGTTGGGGTGACTGCTGAGGGAGTTCCATCGCCTTCCGCCATTTCTGAGGCCTAGTCGGGACAGCTTGGGGCAACAAAGGCTGAGGTGTTTCGCCATACATGGAGTCAGTGGAGGTGATGCTGATTCCGCATCGATTCGCGCAGAGAGCGAGAGACTTCCATTTGCTAAATTGAATATGTTTTATTTTTCCCTGTTGGTTTTAGCGGAAATCTATCACTACTGGAAATATTTTCAGGGGTCTCAACCAAATGGAAGGAGCGAGACAGCGAGAGAGAGAACAGGTACTTGGTCTACGACTTCGGTCTATCAATGGGCGCCTTTCTGTGCTTGCTTCCTAGCTGCACTTGATACCCCTCTGCCGACCAAGGTTTCAGTTTGAGTCACAAACCCCCGGATGGATGAAGGTTAGTAGCAAACAGTCCCAGGCATACAATGGCTGGGTCAAAAGCAATGGTACCATTTGGGGTAGGTGAATTCACCGCCCATTTTAGAACCTATTTTAGTGGTTGGATTGGTTGATGTTCGCTGGATTTTGGTACGATTTGGCTAAACAACCCGTGGCCATACAGGTGCGGATTTCCGATTTCCGGCCTCTTGGCTAAGAACGCCATGGAGTTTGAGTAGACCCCTTGAAGTTCCAGCTTTTGATTGTGACTCATTTGAATGACCCGACTGACACCCAGGGGTATATTTCCAGTCTTGGGCTTTGATAACCCTGATGCCCGATAATTGAGAAGGATCACCGGTCAGATCCCGAAAGGAGGCTGGTTCGGATTTCTCGGCACATGGGCGCGCGGGTGCCATGAACACATCATGCAAGCATGTTGTGGTGTCAATCTGAGATCCAGGAAGAAGCCAAGAAGCTTTGATTTGCGTGACACAAAACACGATGATGTGGGTCTCAACAATGGGGTTTTCGAACTCGGCAGCAATTCCATAAAAAGATGCCTTCGCATGATAGACAGGCTCTCATTGGGCTCACTTGCAGCCCAAGCCGACCTTTGTTCCGGTTTTGCGTTTGATCCAGTTGCATCCAGGTTTCTAAATCGGATCTTCGATGTCCAGTTCCCGGCGCGCCCGCACCCCTTCATCTTCCCCGTCCAAGCCAAGGGTTTTGATCAAAGCGGCTTAAGCCTCGCTTGGGGCGAGGCTTTGCTGCGGGTGCCTTCGGCGATGGACCAATGTGACTTGGGATCTGAACGGGGCAAAGTTCACGGCGAGTCGATATCGGATCAAACCCCTGGCATCGCCCTGTCTTTTTTTTGCAGGGTAGGCGACCCTCCCTCCCACTAATGGCAGCTGACAGGGGGTCCCTTCAAGAGGAAAATGATCTTCCAGTACCTCCCCACAAGTGACATGTTAGTGGGAGGAAGGCGTATGAAAGAGAAGCTGAACCAACCTTTGGGCCAAGATTGGGGGAGTCCAAGGGCAACCATGATGAACCGTGGCCTCAAATGAGCCGAGCAGCCCCAAATTTCCTGGACGGCCAAAAGGCTTGCCTTTGATCCCTTGGCTCCACGGCGGTTCACTTTCTTTCGCTCCTGCCATCATGTGGGTGGACGAAGTTTCCATTTCGCACCACCTAAGAAATTTTGGGAATGATTCGATTCCCCGGTCAATATCAACAAACAAATGGTTTCAACCATGGTTTCAAAGTGGTGCGAACGGATTTCGTCGATTCACAGTATCATGTGTGTGTGGGCTGCCAGTGAGAAGAAAAACAACAAAAAACCGCAGTGGTTGGCCTACAATGCTCAGGAAGGTCCTAGTTCCTGGTATGCCCGCCCGGAGAGTTCAGGGAAAAGGCCCCCCCCAAGGAAAAAAAAAAACATGCCCCGTTCCGCCTGACCCAAGTTCCAAGTTGAAACAAGTCACAAGGGTTTCGAAGTTGGGTATTTTTAAGTTTTCAGCACCAATATGCAAGCAATGCACTTGGAGGTCCTGGCTTTACAAGAAACAAACGCAACGCCCTGTAAGACTTTCGTTTTCACCCGGTCCCTTTGACAGAAGTCGGGACCGTTCTGCTGTATGGGAAGGCAGGCCGCCAGGTCTTTCAATATGTGTTTGTGGTTGCTGCTCCGTTCCCGTGTCAAAATCAGAGGTGACTTGTGAACTGTGTGACACCTGTATTGGACCTGTGCGTGGCTGAGGGCAATATAGCTCTCTTTCTCGCTTTCTCTGCAGAAGCCCAAGGCCTTTGGGCCAAGATGTAGCATGTGTAATTGCCAAGACCCACTGCTTTTAGCGCAGGATGTATTTAAACAGACACGCCAGGGCAGTCACTGACGAATTCATTGGAGTTGTCTATCGCTGGTTTGGGGAGGATGAGGCGGGACTGCCTCAGTTCTGCACAAAAGCGGCAACCAACCCAATTTCCCCATCCTCCATGTGTAGGGGAAAAGGTGTGGGGGAAAGTGATGTTGCACGTTGCTACCACCATATTTTTGATGTGAATTTGAAATCCACCAAAAGGGAAGCTCCCCATTTGCAAACCCTCATGTAGCCCTTTGGTAAACTAGAACTGGAAAACCGCTCCTTCTCTTCAAGGGCTCCTTCTGTGGAACACCCCTAGGTTCCATGACAGTTTTCTGTGGAGCATCTCTATAACACCTAAGTCCCCCAGTTAAGTGCCCTTTTAAACCCGTCTTTTTTTGGTTGAGAGGGTTGCCCCACTAACATAGACTACAGACGAAAGTTGGTACCCTTGTTCTAATCTCTCTACTGGAGCACCTAGACGCAGACACACACACACACACCGCGGTAACACAATCCCAGAGCCCCGCTTCCCGTCACCTCACTCCACTCCAATCCGGGTTTCTTTCATTTAGCCTTCGGCAGATCCTCAGACACGAAGTTAGTGAACCAACAACAAATCAGTCAGATACGAAGACAGGCTTAGCTTCTGCTTGTAACCTCTTGCCTGGCAAAGCAGCCCGGGAAGCATAGCAGCTACCCAGGATCCCGACAATATCTTCAACCAATAAACCCGAACCAAAACAAACAGAACACAACAGCCAACCACCAAACAAGAGAGAAAGTTCCCAAAAAGTACAACACGCTGTTGTTTAAGATGAACTCACCAAATACAGCTGGCAGTTTCGATTTCGTCAAAACACCCCCGCAGACAGCCGCACGCTTGCAGCTCGCTGTTGAGGATGCCCTGGGTCATGAGCATGTTTTGCCTTTTTTACCTGCGAACGGAACTCGCGGGAGCTGGGCTCGTGAAATTCCACCTAGCCGGAGCCAAAGAACTGCTCCCACCATCTCCTTTGGGCTCTTTTGTTTCTTGAAAAGCCTGGCAAAGCGGCCCTAGGAGCATAGGTACCTTGCTGGTCAGGGAATGTGGGAATCAACCCAGGGATTCCCAATTAAAGGAAACCACGGGGGAAGGTTTAGATCGGGGTCATTCCATTTCTCATTCCCTACTTATCGCACCAGCAAGTGCTACTTATCATATTCGGGGATTCCATTAAAGGAGCAGATGGCTTGAACTTGGATTCAGATGTTCTGATCCAAGGTGGCCGAATGCGCTTCTTGGCCTGATAGTGCAGCGGAGTGCTTGTTAGTGTGTTTGCTTGCCTGACTCCCTGTTTGTTTCTGTTTGTTTGTTTGTTTGTTTGTTTGTTTGTTTGTTTGTTTGTTTGTTTGTTTGCTTCTTTGTTTGCTTCTTTGTTTGCTTCTTTGTTTGCTTCTTTGTTTGCTTCTTTGTTTGGCTGTTTGTTTGTTTGTTTGCTTGTTTGTTTGTTTGTTTGTTTGTTTGTTTGTTTGTCTGCTTCTTTGTTTATGTTTATTTGCTTGATTATTTTTGATTGATTGGCTGTTTGGTTGGTTGTTTCGTTGTTTGTTTGTTTGCCTGTCGCTTGCTTGTGTGTTTTGTTGGCTTTGTGCCTTTGTGCCTTTGTGTCTCTGCGTTGTTGATTGTTTGTTTGTTTGTTCGGTTGGTTGGCTGGTGGGTTGTTGGACGGCTGCCTTGCTGGCTCGCTCGCTTGTGTACATGATCTGTTTAGGTTCTCGAGGGTGCCCATTTCTCACATCTGGGGTCCTGACCGCCGCAGACACAAGGAGTAAACAAACACAAACAGCTGTATACAACATACAATTGTTTCTTGTGGGTCATGGACTAAAGAACATTCTATTCCTAGCTCGGGATCTTGTAAGTGTTTCGGGGATCTCAATACAAATGAAGCAAGCACGCCTTGCTCTGCAACGATGCTTCTCTTCACTCAGGATTGCAACAACCACAGGGTTCCGGTGAGTTGTAATTCGCCATTTTGGCGTTAACCTGCCCTGCGTTTGGGTCAGGCTGAAAAGCAACGGCATGCTTAATTTGTCTTGACTCTGGCTCGTTGCACGGGGCTTGCAATCAACGCCCAGGCACCCCGATTTTTGTGCTTGTGCAAGTTCCTTTTCCCAGTTCAGCACATTTTGTTGGGTCCCCGAAAAATATCCACCAGGGTGGCTGCAACCGAGAAAACGACCGACCCCCTTTCTTCCCATGGCAAGTGGGCAAAAGGAATCTATCACTGTTGGATAAATTTGGGTCTGTCTTTTGTAGTTGAGGATACTCCTTGTTTGTGGCTTTAACGGGAAACCGAGAGGGCAATCACATAATGTTTGTTTTTTTGTTTTTTTTGGGGGGTGGGGGGGCCAAGCAAAGACCCCCCCATGTCTCTTTCCAGGGGACGCATTCGAAACTAGATCCTGCGCCCGAGGAATCCATGTTGGATGCCTTTGCCGATGCGCAGCCTGAATGCACAGCCGTTCAACTAGGTCCCCGAGTAGTGCCCTTCTACCCTTTTTGGTTTGGAGGGTTCCCCTACTAAGAAAAATCGGGTACCAAATTTTTCGAACCTCTCCTGGAGGACCTGGACAACCATGGCGGACCTACAGAAAAAAGTTGGTACCCTTATTCCAACCTCTCTACAGGACCTAGCGCTCCCCTAACGAGACGACCAAATCGCTTTTCTTGAACCCCTAAGGTACCCTGCAGAAAGATTCACACAGCACTCTAATTGCCAAGAGAAACGCCAACTCCGTGGCCAGAAGGGGCAAAATCAATAGCACCTATCACATATATATATATATATATATGGTCCCGTGTTCCGTGTTGCTACCCCCCCCTCCCCCAGATGGTATGGGTCCCCCAGACCCCCCCCCCAACCCGAGACCCCGAGCCCCCGGATCCTGGCACCTACGGTCCCACCCTCACCCCGACCCCCTAAACTCGCACCCCGACACCCCGACACCCCGGCACCCCCACCCCCAGGACCAGCCAACCCGCAACCAACCATAAACCAACCCTAAACTAACCCTAAACTAACCCTAAATACACACTAAACCAAGCCTTAAACCGTAAACCTCTAAACCTAAACCAACATAAACCAACCCTAAACCAACCCTAAACTAACCCTAAATACACTTTAAATGCACCCTAAACCAATCCCTAAACAATAAACCCTAAACCTAAACCAACCCTAAACCAAGCCCAAATACACTCTAAACCAACCCTAAATACACCCTAAACCAAACCCCAAACCGTAAACCTCTAAACCTAAACCACCCTAAACCAACCCTAAATCAACATAAACCAACCCTAAACTGACCCCAAATACACCCTAAATACACCCTAAATACACCCTAAACTAATTCTAAACCAACCCTAAACCACCACAACCCAACCACAGGACCACAACCACAGGGGGGGGGGGGATACTTGTCTGACCCATGACCATTGGGGGGGGAGGGGGGGGGGGGGCTGGCAACGCTGTACCATATATACACATAATATGGTACCGTGTCCCGTGCTCCCCCCGCTATCTACATATATATATATATATGTGTGTATTCATGTGTGGACGATTTGCGAAAACACGTATACTCGTGAACCACACACGTGTTCCTGCATGCACCTGCACATGCCACAAAGATACATGTTCATCAAACAAGAAGAACACTTAAGTCACTTACATATAGATACACTTGCACATGCACATACACGTACACATTCAAATGCATACACATATACACATACATATGCCCATGCACGCACATACACATACACACATGCAAACATACACACATACACACATGCACGCATACACACACACACACACATACACACAAAACAAACATATACACATACACACACATACACACGCATGCATACACACACAGACGGACAGACAGACAGACTTACTTACCTACTTACATACAGACAGACAGACAGACAGTCAGACAGACAGACAGACAGACAGGCAGACACACATACACACCTACATAGATAGATAGTTAGATGGATAGATGGATAGATAGATAGATAGATAGATACGTACACACATACCTACACTTTGTGCTTTAAATATATACTGTCATATATCGTTTACATGTCGCGTTCTGCTTTGCTCATCACTCGAAACATTTGCGGCATCAGCGGTAGTCGAACGGCCCTAATGCATACCATTTCGAATGTCAGTATTAAACGGAATGGAAGGAGGGGCAAAAGAAACACGTCTAATTCAACGTCTTTGACGGTTTGGGAGGCTGCTGGCCTTTTTTTTTTGATACTGAATGTGTTGTTCATGTGGCGCATTTCACCTTGCGGGGTTTGTTTGCACAAATCTTGCCCAACCTTGGGCGCCTGGCCACAAGATGCCTGCTGGTGCCCAGCAGGAAATCAGGGAATGACCCTTACAAACCATCCCTTGTGGTTTCCTTTAAGGGAGTCCCCTTCTGGTTCATTGCAAGGTCATTGCCTACCTATCGCATCAGCAGGAAGATGCGGATGTTTATGTCCATAGGTGTCCTTTTCGTTGTTTTGGTCAAACATAGATGGCGATTCCTGGTTTACCTGGTGGTTTAATCATCTACCAGGGCCATCTATTTCCCCTAAATGACGCTAATGGTTGTGTCGTGTCAAAGGTTGTCAAAGGTTCTTTGAGTCACCGACTCACCGACTCGCCAAGGCGTGGCTTGCACGAGGATTGGCTGAGCCACTGCCGCGGAGACGCTGCACTGGCGGGAAGCTCAGAGAGGTGTCGAATGGAACGCAGTTGTTAGAACCTGTTTCGCAGTTTACCAAGCTGAATCACGCTACGCCAGAATCGCTTTGCCTCACACTTTGAGGCTAGCAGTACGGGTGAGACTGGGAGGGAACCAGTGCCACGAGGTAGTTTGTATTTGGCGCCGTAACCGTGCGTTTATCTTCAAGTGCCTCCCTGCCAACGACCAAGAGCCAATAATGTTCAAACACATTCTTTTGGGTTGTTAAGAAGAGTTACTCCCTTCAAACTCCAGACGGATTGGGTAGTGTCTTCTTGCAGTGCCTGCTACGGATTGTTAACTAGGATTGCAACCTAGTTCCTTGACCTGGTTCTTCCTCAGCATGTTGAACATGTGAAACGGCCCATGGGGGGTCAAGATTGGGGGCCTGTCGCAGAACACCAAGCGCCCGAGAAAGGGGGCCACTGGGGGAACTCCTCCAAGCCGCTGTCACGGAAGCGGCGTTTCCGAAGGTCCTGAGGGGGCCGATTCAAAAACTTTCACTGGGTCCCCCAGCTAGGTGCCCTTTGAGCCTTTTTCGGGGAGGGTTCCCCTACTAAAATAGACAACAGAAAAACAGGGTAACCTTATTCTAACCTCTCTACTGGAGGACTTAGTTCATAGTCACAGGCCACCAACCAACTCTTTACTCTCGGCTCGTTCGACTTCAAGTGATTCTCTATGGGCGCTGGCAGCAGGTCTGTTTCAAGGGGAAACCGTACGGCAAACATTTTTACGTTTTGCTTGGGCCAGGTCACTGCTTCAGCTGGAACAGGGCTCCCTATGAGAGTCATGGACCAGGAGTTGCCAAATCGCCATGTCATGACCAATCAGGGAGCCGCTCAAGTCAGCTTACAGGAAGCAACCATGAATGCTTTGCTTGTCATTGCTTGTCCAACATGTTCCGATCGATCTCCTCAGGCAGACTGAAGGGAAGTATGCCACACCTAAATGAGCAGCGTTTTTTAATCAAATGAAAGGGTTTATACAAAAAGGGAACTGCATGTGCTTTGCGGAGGCAATCCTGGTTGGGGGCGTAGGCTCGCGTAGGCTTCAGCGCGTAGGCTGTTGTGTCACCCCTCGCGTAGGCTTTTCGCGTAGGCGTTTGTTGAACAAATCATGACTCAGTGCTGTTTGCCAAGTATAAATGAATTTGCTTCTTTTGCCTTCCTTCTGTTTGTTCTGGAGTCTTCGCGTAGGCTCCGCGTAGGCCCCGCGTAGGCATTCGCGTAGGCTTTCAAGGCATTTTGGGTACGTACACCTTTTCTGGCAGCCAGATCCTTGGACAGATGCGGGCTTCTCACTTGTACTGCAATTCTGATCTTAGAGCCGGAGTTGCCAAAACTGCACTTGTACTGAAAAGTTGCGATTTTCCAGCTGGAGCTGCCACAGTGCACTTCGACACTCGAACTCAACATTTGCCCGCGTAGGCATTCGCGTAGGCACCTGGAAGCTGACTTGTGCTCGCGTAGGCACCCCTCGCAGGCCGCGTAGGTTTGCGTAGGCCTTCGCGTAGGCATGCAAGTAGTGTATTGGCCTCGAACCACCAAAAAAAACACTGCTCAAATGACAGTTGCGCACCAAGATCTAAAACAATAAAGTTAGTTCTGGCCTTTGCTCACAGTCAGTACAAGTTCTAAACTAGAAATTGTGATTTCTAACAAAAATAAACCATTCTAAACTGGGAAGTGGAAGATCTCATAAAGCCTAGCACGCACGATGCGGCCGTTCGTTGTCGCTTCCTGCATGTCCCCTTTCTACCCTATTGAGACAGTGTCTGGCTCTCCCGGGAGTCGTCGTTGTTCCTCATGTAGCTCAAACTTGTCAACCAACGTAGTTGTGGAATTTGCTGATTTGGTATCACGTTATTTCCCACCATGGCTTGCCTCGCCTTTTGTTTGCGGGGGTTCCTCTTTGCACAAACATGGCCTTCCTTTGTCGGCATTGCCAGTGGGAGCTGAAATACTGAAATCCCTCCCCTACTAAAGCCTCAATACGGCAAACAGGCTTCAAGGGTTCCTGTTCTTGGCTTAGTTTAAATGGCAACCAACATGACACCCCTCGTTTTCGGGGTTGGGGGGGGGGGGACACAGACCGGTTGGTTTTAAAGGGGATCCATTTCACTACTAGACACATTTTATTTTTTCCAGGGGTCGAAAAACCTAATGGAAGCCGATACCGAGATACCGACCCAATGGCTGCGCTTTGTCCGCCGTCGGTTGTCCCCTTTCAGGTGCTGACGGTGTGGGTGCTCGCGGTCTGCGAGCGTGCGCGGGAGCTCTTCATGACGAACGACCTCATGGCGCCCCCAACAAATCACCGGGGAGGGGGGGGTGGGGTGGGGGTGGTGGGGGGGGGAGGGGGTTGGGGGGGGGGAGACGCACCACAGACAGATGGACCAGGTGTCCAGTGTCAGGTCTGGTTTGTGGTGGATGGTTTAAGGATCACTCTTTTCAGGTTCCTTGCAATCTGCAAATCACCTAGAAGCTGATCTTTGCCGGTGTTCTGAAGAGATTCTGCCGTTCAAAAGGAATTCCTATGGCTGCTATGGCAAGCCCAAAAGAGAGTGTCTACTGTGAGGTTTCAGACTATGGCTGGCTTTCCCCATCCGAGGCATCCGAGGCATCCAAAAGAGATTTGCTTGCGTTCCTTCGGGTTCCCCCCCCTTTGTCGCCAGAGAATGGGCTGGAAGGCCCCTTGGGGTTGATAGGCCTCAAATAAGCTCTGGAGTGGTTCGGGGCAGCTTTCAGGAAAGGTTCCGGGGCGTTCGGAGGCTGTTGGAATATCACCTGGGCTTATGCTCTTTGGGGGAACATGTTGAAAAAAGAGGCGATCACGTTTGACACGCCAGGCGTTTGGGTACATCCTCGAGGGAGACGGCACTATGCGACTCGGAGTTGACATGCTCGTGTCATTGCTTATCAAAGCCTTTGCGTGGACAACAGGGTTACTAGCTGCTCTGCAGTTTTACCATGGACCCGAGAGAAAACACCAATCTTCGAGGACTCGCCTTTTATGGGGAGACCTCCGCAAAAAAAAAAAAGCGGTAGCCAGTGGCGGTGGAACCACCGTACCCCAAACAGATTGCCTGGCAAGGGCACTTGGCACACATGTGGGTAGAGAGGTTGATTGGTTATAGATGTTCATAGGCAGATTGCTCGGCACGCTTCTAGCCGTCTGGCGCCACGTTCTGCTGATCTGCGGGAGATACCATCAAGGGCATTTTCCGCTAAGTTTGTGATGCATATGTAGCCTTTCCAGCTTATTTTGGTGAAAAACCAAGAAGGCCTCCAAAGCCCATGATGTTGGCCCCATATTCATCAACCCCGCCGCGCTAAACTTTCATTTGCTTGAGAATAGTGGTATTTTCCCCTGTTGGTTTTACAGGAAATCAATTTCACTGCTGGAAACAGTTTATCTTTTTTTCCAGGGGTCTTTACCAAATGGAGAAGCACACCCAGAAACACCCCCTATAAGCTGGAACTGCACTCCATCCGAGGCATTGCTTGGGCTCCTTCGCGGCGCCTGGGTGAAAAACTGGGCGCTCTTAGGTAGGTTTGGCGCACGAACGGCAGGGCTCCGCATATTTTATGGCGGGCTCCGGGGGTAAAACGAGCGAAAGCCATGGTAAAGATCCTTTTGCTGGGGGGTCCCTTAGTTCAGCTTGTGGACATATTGCACAATTTTTTGATGGCAGATGCTTGCACTTGCTGGATCTATTAATTTGGCGGTCTGCCGTATTTTGCACCATACCACGCTGTGTGCCCCCAGATTTTTCGTGGGCTGCTTGGCAATGAATCGCTCAATGGTTCGCAGCCGCAGCCCTAGTAGGGAGCGTACAACCCGTGCTTTGGTTAAGGGCTTCATGGCTATACGGGTCGTTGGACTTCAACCTTGAGTCAAACTTTGTCGGTTTTCCAGCGGACCCATAAGAACAAGTTACACCTTTTTGGTTGAAACTTTGTTAAACTTTGGTTGAACAAATAAAAGCTGTTTGCAGAGGGGTCGTTGCAGCAACCTTGTTGGGACTCCCTGTATCAAAAGCAACCTGGACACGGTCAACCATTGGGTACCAGGGGGGAAGTTGAAGGAACTTCGGGTGTTTCTCATACGGATCGGTCTCATGAGTCTCATGGCTGGTTTCCTTTTTGGCTTCCCAGACAGCCAAGAGGATTCGGCCACTTTGCGAAGCTCCCATGTAACAAATGTAGCGCTTGGGTCGCATTCGCACCCAGGTCTCTAGCGGGCTACTCATGGCCTGCTTGTTCCGGGTCATGCGGGTGTGCCGAGGCGGGGGGTTCGGCCACGCTGATGACTGGTCTTGACATTAATGCTAGGTCCCCCAGTAGTGCCCTTCTCTCCCCCTTTTTTGGGGGATGATGGTTCCCCTACTAAAACAGACTACCGGAAAGAGGGTACCCTTTTTCGAACCTCTCTACTGGAGGACCTAGAATGGGACCGGTGTTTCCCTTTCGCCTACTGGCCGGGGGTGGCTTTGATGACCAAAAAAATCGGGGCCAGCCGAAGGGATGACACGTTTGGCTCTTTAATTGATGTTGATCTGCTGCTCCTGTTAGCGACCTGACCGGTCACGAATGTGATCTTTGCGTGCTGATGAGCTGCAACTGCCGTGATGTGGCTATGAATTCGACTGGGAACACCCGAATGGTGGGTGGACATCGGGTCCCATGTAAATATGATGTTCACCCAAGGGTGTTCAAGTGACATTAAATCGCCATGTTGCCCTTTTGATCCCTCCCACCAACTAACATGGAAGCGCAAAAAGGCACTTTCCAAGAGGAAGGTAGTTTTTGCACTTCCATGTTAGCTTGTGGGAGGGTAGCCACTGTCGCCAAATGGACGCCGGGGGAGCCATGAGTTTGAGTCCCGAGAGCCTTTCAGACCATCAAGGCAAACCCGAACTCGTTTCTGCAAGCCGATCTATCTTTTTAGGTCCCCCAGTAGTCAGTAGTGCCCTTTCAAGGAGGGTTCCTTTACTAATGCCTAAAATAGACTACAGGAAGAAAAAAAACGTTTACCAACTCATTCTAACCTCTCAAATCTGGAGGACCTATCTTTGCCAGACCTCCATTTTGCGAGTCGTTGTTGGGCGCCGAGAAAAAAATATCCAGACCCGGGGTTCATCAGCTTCCCTCTATGGTTTGGATTGGCGGTGTGGTTTGGTGGTTAAGGGCTATTTCTCAAAGACTCTCCACAAGAACCAGGATTCAACGTCACAAACACCCAAACCACAAATTGGGTGTTGCCTGATACCAGGTACCCTTAGACCTAGCAGCTTCTTGAGGTTCCCCTCAGCTCACTGAGCTTCTGGGACAAGAAATGAGGTGCGAAAGATTCAAGGTCAGAGACCTGACCTTTCGGACCCCTTCGTTCCAGTCACGGGCTATCCCTTGTTAACCCCTTAAGAGCTTATCCTTGGCTTATCCTGGGCTTAGCTCCCCTAGTATAGGGGTCCATGAATCAGGCCATGGATAGCCTGGCTGCTTTGTCCTCTCCCTTGAAAGCAAACCACAAGAAAAAGGATGTGTGAAGTTTTCCAGCCCCTGTGTCAGGGGTCCCTGTGTTTCCCCTTTGGGCAGTTCAAACATCAGCACTTGGGTCAATCTTAAATAAGCTTCTGCGTGTTAGGGTGGTATGTGGACGTACCATGCGGGCCCGTTTTTGTTAGAGTTTGGCATTGGGGCACTTGAACGCCAAATTGAATCAGAAAAACATGCGTGTTATGGTTTAGCCCTTTTGCATAGTTCGTGAGATGTGCCTTCCCTTTGTTCTTTTTGGGTGGCACCTTTAGGGTTGCCACTGGGGCCATTGGTGTGTGTGTGTGTGTGTGTCTGTGTGTCTGTGTGTGTCTGTGTGTGTCTGTGTGTGTGTCTGTGTGTGTCTGTGTGTGTCTGTGTGTGTCTGTGCGTGTCTGTGTGTGTCTGTGTGTGTCTGTGTGTGTCTGTGTGTGTCTTTGTGTGTCTGTGTGTGTCTGTGTGTGTCTGTGTGTGTCTGTGTGTGTCTGTGTGTGTCTGTGTGTGTCTGTGTGTGTCTGTGTGTGTCTGTGTGTGTCTGTGTGTGTCTGTGTGTGTCTGTGTGTGTCTGTGTGTGTCTGTGTGTGTCTGTGTGTGTCTGTGTGTGTCTGTGTGTGTCTGTGTGTGTCTGTGTGTGTCTGTGTGTGTCTGTGTGTGTGTGTGTGTGTCTGTGTGTGTCTGTGTGTGTCTGTGTGTGTCTGTGTGTGTCTGTGTGTGTCTGTGTGTGTCTGTGTGTGTCTGTGTGTGTCTGTGTGTGTCTGTGTGTGTCTGTGTGTGTGTGTGCGTGTCTATTTTTTTTGTACTACACCCTGGGAATACACCCACTGGGTATTGACCCCATTTAGGCACATTTCCGGATAAAACCGTGTTATTTTGAACCATTCTGGGTCATTTCCCAAGGGTGTAATCCCAGGGTGTAATACAAAAACCCACAGAGTGTGTGTGTTGTTTGAGAGCAGGTCCACTATCAGGCACCCAGTGCCAGCAGAATGCCGCGCCCCACGTGCACCGGACCGCGCCCGACGCCCGACGCCCGACGTCGCGAGGATTTTATGTGGTGATTGATGACTTCTCCTACAACCTGGTCACGACATCAAACCTTGGCGTGGCCGAGCAAGCGACTTGCTTTCACGAGAGGGGGGTGGGCGTCTTTTCTTGATGAAACACATGCTCACCCGCCATTTTAAAAGTAGACTAAAACCTGTCCCCGGGTGACTTACTTGTGACCCATACCCAAATGTGTGGCATTTGTGTTGACAGCTCAGTCAAGCGAACATGAGTGACGAACCGGGCGGCCCAAATCATGGCCTAGCCGCTAGCGGTGTGTCTTTCGGCAATGTTATCAAAGATCCACTGGACGCCGTGTTTGAAGGACGCATCTATTTCAATTGGACCTACTCACTCCCTGAGTTCCTGGACTTTTGCCACTTTTTGGGTTTGGACCATTGTGTGTTTATGTAAACACACACACACACATATATATATATATATATATGTGTGTGTGTGTGTGTGTGTGTTTGTGTGTCTATATGGAACGATTGATTACTTGTTCTGGCCATCCAAAGGCTCGTTCGGAAGTGAGCCTTTGCGCCCTCGGGTGCGCGTCCGGTGAGGGCGCGCATGGGACTTCAAGATCTCTCGTCGGCGTTCAGTTGGGACTTCCAAGAGAAAGGACTCAGCAAGTGGACCAACGAGCAGGAATGCTGCTGAGTTCTGGCCACGCTGAGCCCCCCCCCCACCGAAAATAAAATATTTCAACTAGACCCCCTCCCCCTCTGAAAAGGGCAGGGATTCTTAGCTACCTTTGACATTCTCCGACAGGGGGGTCGCTTTGGAATCAAGAGGTGGAAAAATGAGCGACCCTGTTGTGAAGGATTCCTTTTTGAGGGGGTTGCCATTTTTTTCACAAAAGGTGGTAAACAGACCCCCCTGTTCTCAGCTGTTTTGGGAGAGAAGGGCAAATCAGGCGCGATTCCGGGCTGAAGTATTAAGGCCGAACAATTTGGGCTCCCCCTCCCCCGAACCCCCTCCCCTTTTCCTGGCAGCCCCATGATTTGATGTTTGTCCACTTAGCATTTCGCAGTCACAATCCAAGCCCAGGGGAAATTCCATTTCGCTTCCCTGCGCAGGAGTGGAACCTGATGCAAGCACTGCTTCGAAGGACGGTCTGACTGGTGTGATCCACACACTTTTTGTACAAAAGGGTGAAGCTTCAGAAGCTTTTTGTGGTTAGTGCTTTAGTTCTTGGACACGTTCTTTGATTCTCCTTGCTCTGTCCTTCTTAGGCCCTCTCGGGCCGGCGCTTTGCGACATTTTCCCTTAGCACACCGGAAATTCCGTTTCTACCAGGATCACCGGGTAACCGTACATACTGTTCACCTGTTTTTTTTTTGGGTTTTCCGAGCTTACCACGATTTAGGTGAATACTTGGGGATCCAAGGCTTCTTTCTCCGTGTTTGGTATGGTTCAGCGATTTAGCCTTGTTTGACACTTAGCTCAGGCCATATCTACAACATGTTTGGTGTCATTTGTCTTGAAAAGCATTTTTCATTTTTACTTTGATCATGAGAACCTATTGTCGGTGGTTGAAGTGGTAAACAATTGCTCCCTCAGGAGTTGCCACTCCCTTCAGTACCTCTTCATCGTGCTGCAGAGCACCATCGTTGCAGCGCCTCGGCTTTCTTTCCCCTTCCAGGGTGAGTTCAAATATCTCCACTTCCTGAGTTCCTGGACTTTTTTTCGCTTTTTGGGAAGAGCAAATTTTAGTGGCAAGCCCAAAGTTTGGTTGCCGGGCCATCCACTCAAGAAGTGCGGGATAGATGCCCACAAATTCCAGCTGGCAGACCTTAGCTGACTCTTCAGCTCCCAGAGCCCCAAATCACCAAAGGCCAGAGGCCATTCAGATTGCCCGCGTCAAGGATCCCAAACTTAAGGGGCCACGGGCGTATTGCCCCCCTGGTCCCACTATGAAAGGGTGTTCCAAAATATTTGAAGAATTCTCCGGTCGTTGGGAGCCCGAGGAAATGGGTATGGCCCAAAATTAGAGAGCTACGGTTACGCAGGTTTAGTCTTTGGCTCCATTTACCAAGGTGCCATTTTGGAAACACTTTTCTGAGCTACAGCCAAATGTCACCTGTCAAAATGGTCCAGGACGCCCCGCTAAGGTGAGGTTCCATGGCAACGCGGCCGGGAGGGTACCCAAGTTCCAGTTCAGTCCTCAAAGGCGCTCCAAATCAGTCGTAGGCCGCCATTTCCGAAGGAAACTAGTTTACAGAAATTAGTGACACGTTTTTGGATTTGTCTAAGTTGAGTAGTGGCTTAGTGTCGGATGACTGTAGTTTAAAAATGGTCTTATTGGTTCAAAAGGGCTCCCCAATGTGGCTGGATTTGGGGCTGGAAGGGAACGTCGCTACAAAACCGCTAGTTGGTTCAGACTTGGTGAATTTCAGCTTTTGTCTTGGAAACTTTGGTCTTAAGTAATAGAGAGACCTTCATTAGTAGGCGGAAGGGACTATTCCGCAAAGTCTCATCATAGAAGTGCCCTTGCGATTTCCACGAAGGTCCCCCTTCTTTGCTGGGTAATCAGATAAGTAGTAGCCCAGTGCCTGTGCTGTGCGGGGAGCACGTGTTGTCAATGCCTGCCATCTCACATGTTTTGGTCTAGTATGGACCAGAATGTGAAGTCAGTTTTAGATGCGCCTAGAAATGTTTGAGGGAATCTGACGTGGGGGCTGGGGAGGGAGGGAGGGAGGCTTACTTGGGCTCCCTCCCCCCGTCACACCCTCCCCCCCCCAGCTCCCATCATGACGCACTTTTGGCCAAACAGGCTGTTGACCCTTGGCATGAAACACAAAGATGTCCGACTCAAACTTTCCGGGAGTTCGAACCGGTTGAATGCTCGCCAGGCAATGGCTTACAGGCAGTAGAGCCACCTGACGAAAATAGCCAATAAGCTTTTGGGTGACTGGAAATCAGACCTGGCACCCAAACCAGGGTGAGAGCAAATGTATTGTCTTTCTGTGGGTAAGCAAAGGGGAGTGGAATGGAGGAATGTTGCCATCTAAGATGGCATGGCAGCGTTTCCAACAGCCTTATGAACAGAGCGCGGAAGTCGAATGGAGCAGCAGCCATGGCTATAGCCCGTTCAGCGGAAGATGTCCCCAGGGTTGCTGACAGTTCGGCAAACCGTCCAAGTACCCGTCGGCATTTGGGTGAAAGATGCCAGCATTCTCTCACTTCCTGAGTTCATGAACTTTAAGCTTTTTTTGGGGAAGCCATTTTAGTGGGAAATATAAGTTCGGACTTTTTGTTGGGCCATCCACTCAGCAAGTGAGTTATGTTGTCTATTTTTAGTGGGACATATTTTTGTTGGGCCATCCACTCAGCAAGTGAATTCTATTGTCTATCATGTTGGTTTAGTCATCCCCTTCACTTGCCCGAACAAAAAGGCAATCGTGCCACATCTAGATTCATCCTGGTGTCAGGGGTAAGAGGTTGGTCTCTTCAAACCGCCAACTTGGCAGCAAGCGCCGGGTGAGAACTCCCCGGAGCTTGGACATCTGCAGGCAATGATGCTGGGCGTGGACGACTTCTACCGACTCAACGCCGGGGGGAGCCATTTGATTTCAGGAGCCGAAAAGGGGCTCCCATGGATTTCGAAGCCCCAGGGTTGACCGTTCTTCCACCAGGAGGCAGGCATTACCCAACTTCAGGTGTTTTGAAAGGCACCCTGACCCATCCAAGCCCCGGTTGCGGAACTCTTCCAAGAAGAGGGTGCTCCTTCGGGTGAAACATGGCAATGATGGAGCAAAATGCGAGTTTTCGGATGGCTGGCTCTTCGCTGGTCAGCCCAAATAAGCTGGAAATGCTGTTTTATTGGTTTTCCACCAAAAGCTGGAACAGCTTCTTCTTCTTTTTTTTTGCTCGCAAGCATTTCACCATGGCCTTGCCGTCTTTTGTATGGCAGGGTTGGAGGACGGGGCCTTGCGGGCCAATATGTTTTGCCGTGAATCAACGCGGACCGGGTCTAGACACTTCCATTTGCTTAAGCCTTTTTTGTTTTCATCGTCCCCTGTTGGTTTTAAAGGGAATCAATTTCACTACTGCAAGTAGTTTCTTATTTTGCCAGGGGACGCAAAGGCACATGGAGTCCTACCCCCAGACAGCTTTTATTTGTCCGGCTTCTTCGAGGAGAACCTTTCTCAGAGAGGTCCTTCGGTTTCCTGCCGATGGTTTGGACGACTGGGCACTCGCAAATGGGAAATGTAATGCGGAGATCCTAGCCATGAGTTGTTTTGCGCAAGCGAGGTTTTGTTCAAGCCTTCGACGGAGCACCAGTGGATACCTCCCGATGTTTGCAGGCCCAACTGGATTTCCATGCCCTACGCAATTGATCACTTGGGATACTCAGGGAACACTGTACATATGTACATAAATACATATATATATATATATGTATATCACGCGTTCAAGCCACTTTAAATTTTGGAACACCACTACTGAAACACAGTTTGGGTGAGTTTCTTCTTACAGGAGTAATATGCAAGGTCCGGTTGCCAAAGCGGCGAGTTTCCCACTTGTGGAACTGTTGGACTCCGGCTTACCAGTTGACAGTTCAGTGGCACTTCTTCGGTTAGTGGGAGAACCGTTTTGCCCTTTTGAGTTTCTTTCATGTTCTCACCTGAGCCACAATCAAACCCGGGTAGATGAAGCTTCGTAAGGCAGAATTCCAACCATAAATGGGTGCAGCCGTCTTGTTGAGTCTTGACGTGGTTTGACGTGGTTCTGGGTAGGCTACGTCAGTTCAAGCTTTTGATTAATGTTGACCCCATACCAACCAACCCTGTTCATAAATAGAGGGTGTCCATTTCTGGGTTTAGTGAGGAATCAGACCATTTTTGGAGGAGCCAAACACCACCCCCCGAAGCTTAATAAACAGGTCGGTTGATTCATATGAGCGGCGTTTTTTTACCCGCAAGCTAATTTAGTGGGGAGAGGGACATCATTATCGAAAATGTGCGCCGCGCCACACGCGCGGAAGGCTCGCGGAAGGGATTTGTTCGCGGAAGGTTTGCGGAAGCTTGGTGGCTGATATACAACTAAATGTTTCAGTGCGTGCATGGAAAAGCTCGGAGAAACAATTCCAGTAGAAGAAAAGGTGTTGCCGCGTGCAAGAAACGTAACGCTTACTCGAAGAGCAGGTGCCAACAGCAAGCCAAGAAGGCCAAAACAGCCGGCGTACTTCGCGGAAGCTTCGCGGAAGCTCCGCGGAAGGGTGGCCCCGTGTTTGCAAGCAAGCGGCCACGTAGCATGGGTAGCCCAATGGAGCCCAAGCCTACACAAGCTGCGGAACACTACCTCACTTAAAATAACATTTGTTTCTGCGCCAATGCTCGCGGAAGCAAAACTTGTAAACCATGCCCCGCGGAAGGCTTGCGGAAGCAAACAATGAAACACATGTGCCGCGGAAGTTCGCGGAAGGGACCTCTTGGCCCGCGGGAAGGATGCGGAAGGGTCCGCGGAAGCTTGAATAATGTCCAAGCAAGTTTGTAAGGAATAAAAACCAACGCTCATATGGGGTCAACATCACCCGGTTTTACCGGCAAATGTAGGGAATGCCCTTGTAAAATCCACCCCCCCTATTCATAAACATTGGTTTATTAGTCAGGGGTGAAGTGGTGCGTAGGCCTGGACACTCGCACATTCTTCCATTTGCTGTAAGGGATATTTGTTTTATTTTCCCCTGTTGGATTTAGAGGGAATCGATTTCACTACTGGACACATTTTCTCATTTTTTCCAGGGGTCCACAAAAACCAAATGGCCGTATTTTCCACTAGGTGCCCCAGCTAGATGCCCTTGCTCACCCCTTTTTTGGTTGGGAGGGTTCCCCGTGTCTAGAACAGACGTCCAGAAAAAAGTTAATACCGTTATTCGAACCTCTGGGTGGTCAACATGCTGCCCCACCGCGGCTCCGAAGGGCAGCCTATACGCAACACAGAAAGCGGGCCCCCTGATTCCTTCCTTTTTATCACCCCCAAACGCCACTTTTTGGGTCAAACAATGCTTGCGAAAAGTATTGCTTTAGAGTTGGGACTTTTCTACATTTAGTATTGGCAACTTTGGATTTCTCAAACAGCCACTTTATTAGGAAGGCCTTAAATAAAACACTGAAAACAAGTGCACAAATGAGGGTTGCTGAGAGATGCTGAGAGAAGTGTTCTTTGGTGTTCTTTTCCATGCGGTTGTATCTGCCCATGGGTCGAATAGCAGAATCACCCCGGACGCCTCGGGTAGATCCCCATCGGCCGATGGCGTCTCGGCCTCCCGAGGAGGCATCGTGCTGGCGGGCTTGGCACAGATGTTTCTCAGCGCTGCCAGTGTCACGGCAACTGGGACCTGGCAGTCCCTCGTGTCTTCCACCGTGTTTTGTTTGTGTGATGCTATGATTTGTGTCTTGGGTTGGGTTTGTGTTTGCTCCTTCCCTTGGTTGTGTGTGTTTATTTGTTTGTCTGTATGTCGCCTTGGTAGTTTGTTTGCGTGATGTTGTTTATAGGTTGCGTGGTTTGTTTGGCTTGGTCTTGCTTCTTGGGTTTGTCTTGTTGTTTGTTCGTTTTTGTTTGTTTGTTAGTGTTTTTGTTTGTGTTTTGTGACCTTGTTTGCGAGTGGGTGTTTGTGTGATTGTTTTGTGTAGCAGTGTTTTGTTTTGTGATTTGTTTTACGCGTCGATTCATTTGTGTGCTTGCCTTGCCTTGACTTGCCTTGCCTTGCCTTGCCTTGCCTTGCCTTGCCTTGCCTCCTTGCTTGCTTGCTTGCTTGCTTGCTTGCTCGCTTTTGTGTGTGTGTGTGTCTGTGCGTGTTTGGCTGCTTTGTTGGTTGATTGATTGTTTAATTGATTGCTTGCTTGATTGATTGGTTGGTTGGTTGTTTGCTTGATTGGTTGGTTGATTGATTGATTGATTGATTGACTGATGTGATTGATTTGATTGATTTGATTTGATTTGATTGATTGATTGATTGATTTGGTTGATTGATTGATTGGTTGGTTGGTTGATTGATTGATTGATTGATTAATTGGTTGATTGGTTGGTTGGTTGATTTATTGACTGATTGAATGGTTGGTTGGCTGGCTGGCTGCCTGCCTGATTGATTGATTGACTGATTGAATTTTTATTGGTTGATTCACTGCTTTGTTTATTGATTGATTGGTTGATTGATTTATTGATTGATTGATTGATTGGTTGATTTATTGGTTGTTTGGTTGATTGATTGGTTGATTGACTGAGTGATTGATTGATTGATTGATTGATTGATTGACTGATTGATTTTTTATTGGTTGATTCACTGCTTTGTTTATTGATTGGTTGATTGATTTATTGATTGATTGATTGATTGGTTGATTTATTGGTTGTTTGGTTGATTGATTGGTTGATTGACTGACTGACTGGGTGATTGATTGATTGATGGATTGATTGATTGATTGACTGATTGATTGATTGATTGATTGGGTGAGTGAGTGAGAGAGTGAGTGAGTGAGCGAGTGAGTGAGTGAGTGAGTGAGTGAGTGAGTGATTGATTTGACGGACGGACCAACTGATTTGATTGACTGACTGACTGACTGATGGATGGATGGATGGATGGATGGATGGATGGATGGATTGATTGTTGATTGATTTGACTGACTGACTGACGGACGGACTGATTGACTGACTGACTGATTTGAGTGACTGGTTGATTGATGTTCTTTATTCAATCGTTTGTTTGATATGACTGATTGATTTGATTGATTTGATCGATTGGATTGGATTGGAATGGATTGGAATGGATTGGATTGGATTGGTTGGATCGATTGATGATTTGATTGGTTGGTTGATTGGTTCATTGGTTCATTGAAACATCATTGATTCATTTGGCCGTTGATTGATGTGTCCCTTGTTTCATTCATTATTTGATCTGTTGATTGAATGGGCTGCCTTGCTTGCTTACTTGCTTTGTCTTTTCCTTTTTCTCTTTTTTTTAATGCTGCGTGTTTGTTTGCTTGTTTAAGTCATCGGTTGTTTGCTGTCGTGTGTTTGGTTTCTTTACTTGCTTGTTCGCTTGTTTAGTTGCTTGTTTGGGTTTGTTTGGTACTTTGCTTGTTGGATCGGTTGGGGGGGTTGCTTTGGGCTTCCTTTGTTTTCTGTGTTGTTGGTGGTTTGGTTAATTGGAGGGTAGTAAGGGACAATCCCAGCCACAAATGGGCGCGGCCGCCTTGGTACTTCTTTGCATGGCTCTGGGTAGACCATTGTGATGCCGAGTTTTGATTGTGACTCAGTTGGGTGATATGGGCGTACTCACTAACTTCCATTTGGTTAAGAATATGTGTTATTTCCGCCTGTTGGTTTGAAAGGGAAACAATGTCACTACTGGACATATGTCCTCTGTCTTTCCAGGGGACGAAAACGCAAATAGAGGCCAAATCAAAGCAAACGAAAACCGAAACAAATAAAAGTACAAAACAAGAAAAAATAAGGGGGGGGGGAAAAAGAAGAAGAAAAAAAACGCAGCTCGGCTGAACCAGCGCCACCGCGCCTCGAGAAACCGAGGACCACTGCGCGCGGCTGCCCTCCTTCGTGAACTCGCCTCTCGGCTTGGGCTTTCGTCGCGCTGTGGGGCGCTGCTTGGCGTGAGGTCGCACGCCAAGCAACTGACGCAACCATCCGAAGAGACAGCAAACAAATAGAATCTCCAAGGGTTGGCAGCAAACGTGGGCAAATCGCTCCAGGTGTTCTTGTCTCTTTCTTTTTTTCCTGGCATCTTGGGTAGTTGCTCGTTTGTTAAATGCAACATGTGCATACAGGAAGCCAAAGCAAGGACACAAATACACACCGAAATGTTACCTGTGAAACTCCTCACGTTGGGTAGCAGAGCCCGCCCGTTCGCCGCCTAGCGGCCTGCGGTCTTGCCAAAGGCACGAGCACTCATTGACATCCGATCGATCCATCCAGGTTGGGCTTTGGTCGCGAGCTGGACGCTGACAGGATGTATTTGGTGGAGTACATGCGCGGACCTTGGAGCCGCACGAGGGGGAGAGATGCAGATTTTGTCATGGTCTCATTTTGGGGAAACGGGGGAGGGGCTGGAATCCAATAACGTAACCTTGGCTATACCTCAACAACTCTCCCAAGAGTAGTCATCCCTCGTTGTTGTGGGTAAGTTCTAAACTGGACGATCTCCACTCGTAGCTTGGCAGCAAGCACCCAAAGGGAATAGAATTCAGGCCACCAGGAATACAGGCTTGGCCCTTCAATTGTCCTGTTGTTGCCTTGGCCGCCCGCAATGGTGCCCCCGCCCGGGCCCCGCCCCCCGCCTAAGAAATATACTAACCACAACGTGTTGCAGGAAACCAACAAGAGCAAGACAACAGAGCATCAGTGCGGGGGTATTGTGTCCGCAAGAAAAACGCCAGACCCCCAATCCGGCGGAACCCGCGATCCCTATCTAAGCAGAGCTATCAGGCCTTGTGCTGGCCTTGGGGTTTTCCACGGCTCAGGTTCTACAGTCAGGCGGGCTCGAGCTTCGCTCCTTCGGTCCCGCGCTTCGTATCCAAAGATCCACAGATCACCCCTTCATGGCTTTTGAATTTGACGGTTTTTTTTGGGGTGAGAAACCTGCCAAAGAAAAACGCTTTTGAATTTGACACCTTTTTTTGGGTGAGAAACCTGCCAAAGAAAAAGGAACAAAGGCATCCACGGAAGGTCAGCTTCGAACCGGTCGCCCCCTTTGGGGCTTGCCATCCCTCTAGCCACAATGAATGGGTGAACTCACAGGGGTTTCCCAGAGTTTAACAGGTCCGTCTTTTCTTTACCCCCTTTCTGGTGGTAGCTTTAAAGGAGAACCAGGAAAACCACGATATTTTTGGGGGTCCAAAAAGACGAGCCACTGGGTTGTGTCAAGGCTGAGCCGCTTTCACATTCAAGCAAGTTGCATTCCCTGGGGGGTTGCAGATTAAATTGACCACTGGTATCGTTTGGGTTTAATCCAGAGGACTGTACACAAGGACATTTTTAGCTCGGCTATCTCGGCTGTTGGGAGGTGTGGGGGACCAGGGCAGTCCATGCTCGACAATTGAACCTCCACAAAACACAAGTTCCCATTGGAACGATGGTGCGCCACCCACTCCATGGATTCGCGCAGGGACGCCACACCTGCCGAAGAACCCCCACAACGGTTTGGGCTGAACTGGCATCGTAATGAAACAAATCCTTCCCGCGGGTGAGAAGCCAAGAAGGGGACAGCGTCCTTAAGGTGCCCTTGCGTGTCTTCATTTCAGTCAAGGCCCGAAAAGCATGTTTCCTGGCCAATCAACCCAACTGGTATCAACAATGATCATGTGACCATGGGTAATTCCTTGTGCTTTGGGTCAAGGGGACTCCAGCTTTCTTCGACCTATGACCCTTGGACCCGAAAACAGGCTTCGGGGTAGCAAAGGGGGCCCCACTTTCAGCGAGTCCAGATCCACTGAAGTCGCTTGCAGGCAGGCTTCTACCTTTTTGAGGTGCGCATTACTCGAGACATGGCCCTGCACTGAGATGGGCCTTCGAAGGTTCGAGGTTACGAGGTCCTTGTCTTATCCTGATAGGTTAGCTAAAACATACGTAAGAGTACGGGGAAACCAAAGTCCGAATTATGGCCCGGGTTCATAGTTGTCTCCAAATAGCGTAACCCTGAGAATGTGGTTTCCTCGTAGTCTTTTGATTATCGGTTTATGTAAGAATCAAGCGTCAGTTGTGGCTTAATTGAGCCAACTGCTCTCCCAATAAAACGCAAAGTCTCAACTGCATTGTGGGCACAAACGGGGTTTCTGGTCGAATGGATCCTCAATAGCAACCAAAACCTTCAAGCGATGGTGTGTGTTTTCCAGATCTACTTAGCATCCGGTATGGACATGTGTATACATGTTTTATGACAATCGGGCTTGCTTGCGCAGGCATGGGGGTCAGGCTGTTGTATAGTAAGCCAGGGTCTCTAAGCCACTATGGTCAAATCACATGCAAGGGAGCCACATCTCTTCTCCAATCGTGATGATTCCCCACTGAACCCACGGAGAAGCACCCCCACACAAATGGATGGACGATTTCCTGCACCACCTAGCAAACCCTGAAAGGATGATTCCCCTGCAATTGCCAACAGGCAACGGTTTCAACCATGGATTCCAAATGGTGCGAATGGATTTCGTCCATACACAGTATTAACAAACAGAGGTTGGTTAATATGGGGTCAACAGCAGACAGATTCTCCAGATCCGTCTCATGAAAGAACAACTTGCGATAAGGTTATAAGGTTCCTTTCGAAGCTTTTCTCCGGAGGGGTGTCAGGTTTCAGCGTAAGACTGCGGATTGGTTGCTGGCACCTGTGTTCCTTCCTTTTTCAACGCGCTCGCTGGGAAAAGCCGCTGCTCTCGCAAGGTCCTGAAAGCTTTTTATGTGACCGGCATGGCAGTTTTCTACTTTGCCACCAAAGTGGTGGCCGGCGTTTGATCAGTTGCCGATTCTCAAGCGTTCAGTGGTCCGTTTTTGCTGACTCCATTTCTGGAGGGAACTCTGAGAAGACCTAGCGTGCAAAATGGCGCATCATTCTTAAATGGCTTCTCAAGGAAAGCAGGCAGGGATGAACATGTGGTTCTTTTTCCAGACCCACTCCTCCCATTTGGCACCCAGATTTCTGTGGTGTGGCTTCTTCACTCACTTTGTTGGCCTTTCGAGTTTCCGTCTGCCCCCTTTTTGCACCATTTAGCTTTATGGCGGGTATAGTAAGGGCTATAGAAACCTTGATGGCCGTATTGGTTGAACCAACATGCTCACATGGTGAATCGTACCTTCAGGCAACATGGGGACTGGGCTTAGCCCAAACGGACGGAGGGCAGGAGCTTTCAAATAACCAAGAGTACCCAACCAGCCAAATCGGTGTGTATTATTTTTGGGCGGTTGGATTCAAAATGTCCTAGACTGAATTCTGTTTTGTCACTGGCGACATGCAAAAATGGGGCTTAAAGTACTGCACCAGAGGAATTCGAATTCGCGGCCGGGGATGCAGTACAGAGTAGAGCGCTGGAGGCTCACAAGTCGTTAGCGCAGGGTGGGCTGCAGAATCAGGTGCGGCACAATTCAGCCCTCTATTCAGCGTAGTCAGTGCGGGCCAAGAACAAGCCAAGAATCAAGAATTGGACAAAAAGGTTTTAGTCAATGCGTCCATTTACCAGGGTTCCAGTTTGGCGTCGCCCTAGTTTTGACGCAGAGCCATATTTGGGCCAACTGTCACTTTGATCGGCTTCAGGACCCTGAGTTCTTTATTGGAGGAAGAGATGAGCTTCAATGAAGGGCATTGGCTCCGGGCCATTTTTCGAAGGTTTGATCCCCCATTCTCTTCACCCAAACCACCAATTTTCCAATGTTTTGGCCCATTCTTTGAAGAGAATGATGCCTGAAGAGAATGGGGAGGGTACAGCTAGAATTTCGGGCTCAGTCTTTCCAGCTCGGGGTAGCAAACGACAAACCAGCAGCTTGTTGAGTGCCTGTGGCCAAGGTTCATTGGCTTGGTTCCCCGTTTCTTTCACCCACCCTCCTTCAGAAACCACGGGCGCCCAGCCATCCGGTTCCTTAGCCTTTTGGATCTTAGTGTTTAGTCTCTGTTGCCCAAAGCCGACCTTTTTGACCTTTTGGTTTCTCCTTTTTGGGTCTAGTTTTAGTCATCGCCCCAAAAGGTTAACCTTTTATTTCTGGGTCCTTTGGGCAAGTGAGTAGTGGCTGGGTTTCCGAATTTCACCCAAAAGTTAGTAACTTTACCTTGTTTTTCCCTAGATACCTGACACTAGGTCCCCCAGCTAGGCGCCCTTCTCACCCCCTTTTTTGGTTGGGAGGGGGGATCACTAAAATTCGTCCCTTTTAGCAAACCCCAAGCCAGAAGCTTGTTGAGAGCCTGTGAAACCCACTCTCAATCAGAAACCACTCATTTCTTGGTGGCCATCCCCTTAGCCTTTTAGATGTTTTTAGTGTTTTTGTGGTAGTTTACTATTTTTTCACCCACTAAAAGTGAGTCCCTTTTCGCGGGGGATCCGAAAACGGGCGGCCCAGATTTCTGTGTTGGCCTATCTTGAGCTTGCGCCTAAGTCCCGCCCTTCATCCCTGAGCCGCTGCAAGACCGGGATGGTGTGAACAAAGAATGGATCTCCCCACGTCACCCAAGGAAACTCACCTCCACTGTTCTTGGCAAGTGTTTGTGTTTTTTTGTTTTTGTAGGTTTTGGTTTTGGGTTCTGTTCATTTTGAGGAGGGGGCTGAACAAACAAGTTTGTTGCTACCATACCAAGGGTTGTGAAGTCACCATTTGGCTCCAAAGGTGATGTTTGAGACAAGGGGGAAGAACCGGAGATATTTTAGCTTTGATAGACCCAGTGTAAAACAGCTGCACCCGAATCACCAGCTTCTCTTGCCCGAAGGTTCTGTTTTTGCCATCCACGCAAAAGATGAGGGTGTGGACCCAGTATTCATCACTGACAGCCTCACACACACACACACAACACGCGCACACGCAGGGGCACCCCCTCATTTCATGTGCGACCTGTAGCGACATATTTGGGTGGCTTTCCAAAGATCACACCATCCCGACTTTGTGAATACGATTGCTTGCGA